TATCAGTGCTTCTAGGTAATTTACTTACTTTTCTTTTCTTTTTCTCTTTGAAAGAAAAAATGAACAAATCTAAGATGTGACATTAATGTAAGTTAAGGTTAAGGTTAAAGGTTAAAGTTAAGTAATCTAAGTATGTGACATTAATGTAAGTTAAGGTTAAGGTTAAAGGTTAAAGTTAAGTTTAAGCTTTCTTTGTATTAAATTCAAGTATTAAATCAATGAAACGAGTGAAAAATGCCTAAATGATTTTTTTTTTATAATTGCTAAATTAGATGAAAAAATAATTTTCTTTTTTTCTTCAACAAATTTTCATAAATTTTTTTTTTTTTATGTCCAATGAAATAAAATGGAAATTTTAATTAGTAATAATTTAACGATTAAAAGATTGAATTCAATTATTATTTCAATATTAAATTCTAAAGTATAACTTACCTAAAATTAAATTCTAAAGTATAACTTACCTAAAAGCACTGCTTCATAATGATATGATTAAATTATTTGAAAATTAGTTTACACTTAAACTTCATTTGATAATATTTGGATGACTTTTTTTTTTGATTATAATTTAATTCAAATTTAAATTCCAGTTTTAAAATGCTGTAATTTTAGAAGCTAAAATGAAATCAAACGATTTTAATGCTATTTGTTCGAATGATTTAAATTTCTTGCCGGTACCTTTCTTTTTTTTTTTTTTATGATTAATTTGTCTTGCGAACTGAGAATGATAGCCTAAAGGATTTCTAGATTTGAAAATTATGGATTTAAAATTTGAGGCCAAAGAATACGCAGTTTTCAGCCTGAAACAAACATGGCTAAGCCAAGTTAATTGTTTCTAAATAATAAACATTTATGAATATTCGTTTTTAAATCATTTCACCTTCTGTTTTTCAAATCTAATCCAACTATAAAATTAAATTCAATTTATTAATTCCATTTTATTTCGTTTTTAAATCATTTCACTTTCTGTTTTTCAAATGTAATCCAACTATAAAATTAAATTCAATTTATTAATTCCATTTTATTTCGTTTTTAAATCATTTCACTTTCTGTTTTTCAAATCTGATCAAACTATAAAATTAAATTCAAATTATTAATTCCATACGTAGTTTTCTATTTTGTTTTATTTTTTTGCAAAAAAGTGTATTTCTGTAAAGAAATGAAAAATTATATTTTAAATTTAATTCTTTAGTTAAAGTCAAATGGTTTTAATTTATTTATTTGTTTGATTTAATTAGCAAAGAAATGAATCAAATTGAGTAGCAATAAAGAAATTGGATTAATAAGCTTTTTTTGAAATTTGTTAATTTGTTTGAAAAAAATTTATTTCTTTGATTTAATTAGCAGTAAAGAGGCCAAAAAAATAAATAAATAAATAAAATTTTGAAATTTTCTTCTTTAAGAAAAATAACAATAATGGTTGTTTAGTAAAAATTCTTTTTAAATAATTATTTAATTAAATTTAGACTGAAAGATTTTAAAATTCAAAAGGAGAAGCGAACTGCTAAAATTTTAATTTTAAAGCTAAAAAAAATAATCAACAAAATTATCAATTTTATTAATTTGAATGACTAATATTTGTTGTTTGTTTAAATTATCACAGAATGATTAATATTTGATGTTTAAATTAAATTAAAATTGATTCAAAAGGAAGGAAATATTCACTCAGTGATTTTCTCTACTCAAAAAAAAAAAAATGAAGCAAATCAGTTTGCTTAATAATTTGATTTGTGTGAAACGAAGAAGTTTAAACAAAATTTTTTAAAGATTTTTTGAAATTTTATATTTCAAAAAAAAAAATGAAATGAAATGAAAAAATTAAAATGGAAATTAATTTTGTTTGTTTTTTTTACAGAGTAAAGCAGAAATTGAACGTCGTCGACGAGCTCGAATGAATGCTTCGTTGGATAAATTGAAAATGTTTCATTTAATAAAATCACCAACAATTGAATCAAAATTTGAAAAAATTGAAACTTTGAATTTAACAATCAAATATCTTCAATCAATTAGTAATGATCAACGAAGAGGTACAGATAGTATTATGCGATGATCTCGAAGAGATGATCTCGAATGATCGATCGATCGATCATCTTTTGTACATTTTTGAAATTTCTATTCTATCAATATCAATTAATTAATTTGATATTTATTTTCTTTTTTTTTTCTATTCGATTATCAATTACTCACAATAAAATACTTTTCAAATTATAATTTGATATTTAATTATGAATTTAATCATAGTATTTACAGGATTATTATATTTTGGCCAAAACAAACATTCTGCATCGTATCAGCTTTATATGAGAACTAACTTCTTGGCTTTGATCTATTTTTAACATTTTTTAGTTTTATTTGAACTACTAATGATTCTAATATAATTGAAAATATTTAAGGAAAGGTCAAATGGAAATTAATTACTCATTGATTCTCTCATGTAATTTACTTCAATCTATCAACAAACACAACTTTTTTTCTTCCCAAATTACTACTAAATTCTAAATTTTCCAACTTTAAAAAAAAAAAAAAAGAAAATCAAAGTTTTTTTTTTCACAATAATTTTCTTATTTATTTACCTTTTTCAATGATCATAAGTTGTGTTACTTTTTCCTTTCCCAAAAATTTAAATAAGTGACAGTAATCAATTCCCGTACTGTTGTTCCGGTGTTCCGGTGTGTTCCGGTGTTTTGCTGAGCAGATTGTATTGGCATATGGAATCCTGTGAAGTTTACCGTTTTTTTTTTTTTTAAAAAAAAATATATTTGAATTTTGTTTGCTTTTTTTTTTTATCCTAAATACATGTAATTATTTCAAATTTTACTTAAATTTTGTGCAACTTTTTTTAAAAAAAAAAAGTTTTATATTCTAAAATTACATAAATTCAATTAAGTTATTATTAATACAGTGGTCATTTTCAGGATCAGAAAAAACAGCATATACAGGATTTAAAGATGGATTTGAGACAGCGCAAAAAGCTGTCACTTCATTTATCTATCATCGATGTCCTTCTTCGATCTCATCATCACTGGTTGCTTCGGTTAATGCAGAACTCTCTGCAGTATTTGATCAATCTTTTAAATCAATGAATTGGTTACGATCTGTTTATGGAAACAATGCTACAGGTCAATCAATTTTTGATCTGAATTGTTGATTTGTTGTTTGTTTCAATCTGAATTGTTTAAGGTTGAAACTCAATGATTCATTTTAGTGGCCCATTAGTCTATTTATTCAACTTACTGAATTTATAGCTTAGCCAACTAGAGCTTATCCAGCGATGAATAAACAAATTTATTTTTAATTACAATTTACAAAATCGAAATGTCACCAAATGTCACCAAGTTTACGGTTGTCATTCTACAGTATTCCAGGAGAGAAGCAATCTTCGGCAAAGAAACCAAAGAAACCGGAAATGAATTTACCGCAATTTGGGCGACAATCGTCAAGTTCCTTACTACAGCTATATTCGTCACCAGTTTCGCACTCACACAATATTCCACCAATATTTGAGTCACCTGAAAGTGCATACACTAATCAATCGTTGTTATCATTATTATCATTATCAACAATGTCATCATCATCATCACCATCATCATCATCATTATCAGCAAAAGGAAGCGACGAAAATTTGGATCAATCAAACAGTACTGCAGAATTTGTTTGCATCACTTGTGACGGAAACTGCATTTGTAATAGGAACTAATTCCGGATCATGTTGACAATCTTTTTGCAGTGCTGTTAGTTTAGTGAATGAGTGACGACGACTGTTAATTTGAATTTTTATATTTCAAATTTTTGCAGTCTGAAATTTCGAATATTCATTCCTCTATGGTACCACTACTAATGTAACAGTGAAATTCGAGAAGATGATGTATATTTATCAATGTTTCCATGATGACATCCGGAAAAAAGGAAATTTCAGTTTCATTATTCCAGTAAATTCAACCAAAAAAAGGAAAAATACACCATCTACTCAAAGTATATTATCCTGAATATGAAATTATCATCGATGATAATGCTTGTGTTTACTAGTAATAATTAATTGTTCATTCTGCATCTTCCATTAATTTTATTGTGAACTTGAAATTGTGCTGAAACTTGGATAACTTTCATCCTTTACATGACAACAATTTGTATTGTTGTAACAACTTATTGTACTAGTTGTTTACTGTTGTAAGCTAAGCAAACTTTTATAGGTATGTAAGGATGATAGATGTGTTTGATGAGTTAAAGTTCAGTGGAAGAGAGTTGAATTAAATGAATTTTTAATAACTAAAATCTTTTGTTGAAGATATCTATCTACAGATTCATCCCTGTCAATTGCTAGTATACCTTATCTTAGAAAAATTTAAATGGAAAATTGCTAGCACGTTGAGATAGTGATGACCTGTTGCACTTTTTCTCGAGATTTTGTTTGCTTACAGAAAAACTTCTTCTCGAGACCTTGTTTACTTACAGAAAATTGCACAGCAAATTTTGTTAGAAATCAACTACCTATTGTTTAGTTAGCCAAACCATTAAATCTTTCTGCAGGATTATCACGGAAAACATTTTTACCATAGCATCAATGATATATCAGTTTTACTTCGCACAAAAAATAAAACAATCGAGAAGAGATACCAAACAGCCAAAATAACAAGGCTCTGCACAAGACGTACATCTTCTTTAAAGTATATATATATATATTTCGAAGAGACAAACTAGTTCCTAATAATTTCAGGAAAAGGAAAAAAACAATGTCGAAGATGAATAATTTAGGCAGCAAAGTTGAGCTACATATATATATCTTAAAAAAAATGCTTAATCACAAATATTTACGATAGTGCTTACTAGGATGAAAGAAAGTTTAGTCGAATTAGCAAGAAACTATAATAAATATCTCTGCTGCTAACTGATTCATCATCTTCATATCCTAAACTTATAAAATATTGCTCTGCTTCGTCCTATATATACATTTAGTTTACTACAATTTCAAAAACATCTATCCAGTCATCCTAAAAAATCATCCCTTATGTCTGAAATTGTGCCAAAGCATGAAGAATTGCAATTCGAGCATGCACTCTACTACCATTATCAATTGATTTCAGTGACATACAAACAAAATCGGCAAAACACTCGTCAGCATCACGAGGACCGACTGCTCGATCAAAGGCAGGTTTCCGTTCCGCTAAACGCTGCAACGCTTCAACACTACGCATCAATGCACGCGCAACTGTATCTGATGGTGAATCTGGTGAAGGATCGAGTCTAGAGCGTTTTACTGGTACTTTTTCAAGTGACACCAATTCAGCTATTTCTGTTCCAGCTGTTGCTGTCGCTGAACTTACGGGCGGTGTTGGAGATTTATGACTTGCTTTTCGAATCCTCTGTCTTCTTTGTATTGAACGTTCAGGTCCTGATGAAGAAGGGACTGTTTCTTCTTGCTCCATTAACATGTCATCAGCGATCCTGAAAATTCAAATGAATAATGAAATTCATACAAACTGTAAACTTTCTTTACAGTTTTTTTTACAAACTGTGAACTATTTCGATAAATAGTTCCATCTAAAATATGGATAAAAAAATTCCTGGAAAATTAAACCTTGTCTTGCTACTGCGACAATTTAACTCATAAGATTTTTGAAATAAAAAATTTGTCAGGCATGTGAAACATCTTAAGAATAGAAAGCACTAGACGGAAATTTTATCGACATAGCAACAATAATTTCTAATTCCTTCCTATTACCAACACTAATCTTCTAATTCACAATAACTACTAAATTCCACAAATGTCAATTTCTATTAAAAAATTTATCCTGAAATCTATGAAAGTACAAAAATGAATAACCTGTTATCGAAATTATAACTGGTATCGGATGACTGTTCAAAAACTTCTGGTTTCACGAACATAGATGTCGCAACATCGCAATGAGCCCCAGTATTGTTGCTATTTCTATCATTGCCGCTGCGATTACAACTTTTGATAGGTTTTGATAGTACAATCCTAAATGAATCAAATATTTACTTTAAAAAAAAGCAACTCAATTTTACAGAATTACAACATGTTTGGAGAAATTACGATGAAATACCATAAATTGAAAAAAAAAAAAAACAATTCAAATATTTTTGTTCCATTCTGCTTAGACAATCTGGTATTTTCAAAGAGTGAAAGAATGTGTTTAAACCTATTTTCCGTGCAAGAGTTGTCCAAGAAACAGAGATCAGCATAATAGGAGAACGATGATCCGACACCGCACGTCATCACACGTCGACGTTCCTTTGTGTATCGGTCGCGTAAAGTACGCCAGCGAGTTTTTACAGCTTCTACTAAAGTTAACAAACAATTGTAGTAAATTTACTTTCGCTCCTCCTTTTTTTTTTCTTTTCCTTTTTACAAATTAAACAAATCACAAGAATTTAAAACAAATAAACAAATTATTATTTCTAACTAACCCTTCTCATTAAGTTTAGCAGCAATTTCAATCCAGGTTTCCTGTTTCTTGATTGCATTACCATAAAGAGGATGTGAGAAGTCATAGATTATTGGATTCAGACGTACTTCTCTGATTAAACTATCGTTAAATGTGGAATCTGGTCCACCTTTCAATGACATCACTGAACTATTACCAGCATCGGAATACCTGAAAAATTCAAAATATTCGCTTTTATTGACTTTTTGTTACGCACCAAACACACTCCAATATGCAAAATTAACAGATGAGCAGCAGCTCCGTAATATTAAATACACATTAGGCGACAGAACAGGAAGAATCTCCTTTTCCGGAAAAGTAATTAAGATTCTGTACCGAAGCATTGATACTTAACCATGTAATCTATTTCTTTGTAGGTTCAATTTTATATCAAATTTCTATCATTCTAAATTTCTCTTACGCAAATAGACCTAATGAAGTGATAATCTAACTCTGAGAAATTTTTGCTAATTTGTATCAAATTTCTCTATCAAATCTCGCAATTTATACTTCGCTGCAAATATAGTTATTATTAAAGCAATAATATTTTACATTAAATATGCATAAATAAACAAATAAATAAATAAACAAATAAACAAATATATGAAAAGAGGAAACGATGTATTTTTTACTCAATACTTTTTCCCCTTGGGGTTAACTAACTTAGTCTAGTAAAGGTCAAAGTGAAAAAGCTGCTGTTGTTGACGACGATGTGTATGAATGGAATAGCTATGTTATTATTATATATTACGTATACATACACACATACACATACACACACATACATACACATACATACATACACATACATACATACACATACATATACACATACACATACATACATATACATATATGATGCATGCGAGGAAGAAAACATCTGTTGGTCGTCGCTGTCGTCAGAACCAACTGAGCACGTCGTCGTGGCATCCTGCCGGTACCTTACAGCACCGTTCTCCACTTCCTCATCACCACTACCATCATCACCGCTAGCAGCACCAACAGCAGCAACATCACAATCGATCCGGGCTTCGCTGCGTACCGCTTGTTCCGTCGGCAGTCCGCAGAAGATATAACACTTTACAAAGTGTCAATGCCTGTCTATCTTCTTTCCTTCTCTCCGACCACATCTATTGTATGTGTTTGTATGTCTAGCATGTCTGTGTGTGTGTGTATGTGTGTGTACGTGTATGTACGTGTATGAAGGGTACTTATCTCTCTCTTTGTCCTATCATTTACAACATAGTTATGCAATGGGTTATGGGTTATGGGTCGTACTCCGTGTGTGTGTGTGTGTGTGTCTGTCTGTCTGTGTGTGTCTGTCTGTGTGTGTGTGTGTGTATGTATGTGATAAGCAAGGAGCGCACAGTGTTTTCCGTAAGGCAGCACTGTCCGCTCCTGTTAGGAGGGTATGATGACGACGTATAGGCACTGACTGAGCTGAGTTTTCTCTCGCAGACTCTTACTGATGCGATTATTCCGCCGTAGACGAATTGAGCGCTCATTTTATGTGTTTATTTTTATGTGATACCTTTCTTTCTCGGAGACTTTCCGGACTGATCGTTCGTTAAGGTAAGCAGTGGGTAGATCCGGTCAATGTTGATTGTCATTAGAGTGGACAGGGATGCTTGAGTTTTTTACAAAAAAAAAAAAAATTTGTAAAACTGTGAAATCCTCGAATATTTATTCATTTATTCAAAACATGAAATGCTATATGCGTGTACGTGTAACGTAACGTAACATAACGTAACGCAACGTAACATAGTTGGTAGCGGAATTCATCATTCAACCGGTAAAGTAAGTAATGCTGTTCCGAAATTTAATGACATTCCAAAATTACACACATAACTGGCATAGGTGACTTGTCAATAATCGAAGCACCAGTGGTGACAAAAAAGATAAAGGAAGGAGGAGAAGGATAGGAATTGATATGATTGAGTACTGATTACCTGTCCTTACCTTTCCTCAGTCAGGTAATCACTCCTGATTACCTGTCCTTACCTTTCCTCAGTCAGGTAATCACTCCTGATTACCTGTCCTTACCTTTCCTCAGTCAGGTAATCATTCCTGATTACCTGTCTTTACCTTTCCTCGGTCAGGTAATCATTCCTGATTACCTGTCCTTACCTTTCCTCAGTCAGCTAATCATTCCTGATAGTAAATCGACCGACCGACCGACCGACCGACGGTTACTCTAGCAGTATCATAGATTCTTCAGCACATTCTTTTCCTTTATTGTTTTGAGTAAAAAAAAAAAATTATCGTACAAAAATTTTCCAAATGTTTATCATTGGCTTAAATTGGCGAACAAATTTCATTTTAAAACTTCCCAAAAAAAAAAAAAAAAAATTAATTTTTTTTTTCAAGAAACTGATATTTATTTTGTTTTTTTCTCTTCATTTATTAATAAAAAAAACAGCAATATTTTGTATATTATTTTCACAATAGTATTTTTTATGATGAAGTTGATGATGTAATGGCATCTTCAGATGATACGGCTAACTCAGAACTGATTGATAAATCGATGTCATCAGGTTTGCCATCTAATTTTTGTGATCCAATCACGAATTCATCAGGTTCCGGATAGTCACCGATCATCGCCTGCAAAAAGTCCTTTAATATGGGTAATGGATAGTGATGTCGAATTCCTCATAACATAATGCTTCTTGAAATTTCTTCTGAATTATGGATAATAATCCATTAACAATTCAATCATTTTTCATCTCAACTTTCCGCCGTTTTTCATCTCAACTTTCCGCCGTTTCTCATCTCAACTTTCCGCCGTTTTTTCATTTCAACTTCCCGCCGTTTCTCATCTCAACTTTCCGCCGTTTCTCATTTCAACTTTCCGCCGTTTCTCATCTCAACTTTCCGCCGTTTTTTCATTTCAACTTCCCGCCGTTTCTCATCTCAACTTTCCGCCGTTTCTCGTCTCAATTTTCCGCCGTTTCTCATCTCAATTTTCCGCCGTTTCTCATCTCAACTTTCCGCCGTTTTTTCATTTCAACTTTCCGCCGTTTCTCGTCTCAATTTTCCAAGATCAAGATAATACCTTTAGCACCTAATGTATGTATTCAAATATGAAGAAATACAACAAACTAGAATTAGTCATTATGCTAATGTGAATCGATCTAGTCACTTTGCTGAATAATTTAACCTTTCTACTTTTCTTTATTTTAAATTTTAAAAAATTTTTATTCTCTCAGTTTGCAGCATCAGTAATCTATGGAAAATAATAACAATTTTCTATTGTTTGTTTTATGATTTGAAAGTAAACATTGAAAAATTTGGATGCATAAAACAGGATCGTATTTTTTGGAAATTTTTGCTAATATTTATGTGACATTTGTTTTCTTTTCATTACTGTAATTTAAAAAGAACTCACTTTTAAGCCAACAATATCTCCTTTAACGACCAATAATTGAGGTAGATTATGGAAGTCTTCAAAAACCTACAATAATTATTCGATTAGACTGTGTAATCTTTAATATTTATTTATTTATTTATACGTTTCAGTGATTTAAAAAGGCTTTAGCAAAATTTTTGAGAATAAATTTTGCTCGAGAATTTTTTCCAATTGAAACTAATTGATGTTATATCTCTAAAATGATATGATACACAGAAAAGTTATTTTTGAGAATTTATAGTTAAATTCGTTGGTGTTATAGAAATTTTGGACATTCTCGAGTAATATGGCTTACTTCATAATTTCGACATTTGTGCACAATAAGCTTTTTGAGCTGAGGATGTTGGGCTAATTCAACCATCGTCCCACGATTAATCTTCTCGAGATCAATTTCACGCAAGTATATAAACTGAAACAATTGGGAGGTTTATAAAGTGTAACTTTTTTTTTTTTTTTTTAATTGTATAAATTACGTATACTTATACTAGTGAAGTAATTATCTAACATTTAGCTTCTGATATTATTGAAATCTAAGACAAGCTACAGACGCTAACTATTCAGTGTAAGCTTTTTATCTTGTAGACTGAGTATTCTCGAGAGTCTTCTCGAGACTGGCAAAATAGTTTCCAGTTCTAATTGGTAAAACGTTATTATCGATTGGACTGAAATACCAATGTATTGAGGAGAATGCGATGAATAACAGTAAACTTGAAATATGTTAATCATCATGATGAAAAAAATAAATTCACACTAGAAGCTGCCCATATGATTGAATAAAAATTTCAGGATACGATAGAAAATTCCTGACATACCATCATATTATTTAGAAGCTAATCCATTTAAACATGAATGCATTAAAATTAAAATTAATTGTCATCAATCTCGGGTAATTTTGTGTTTTCCAATTTGCCTAGAGGGATAGAATTACCCATTCGGGCCCGGAAAATTCTATAAGAACGAAGTGAAGAGATTTACCTGAAGACGAGGCATACTTCTGGCCATATAGGAAAAGAAACTGTCCGGCAGAAAAGCGTAATCCACGGGCGTATCCACAATACATACACGTCTCACTCGATGCTCCAATTTCCTTAGCAATGCTAATAAAGGCCCCTGTAAAGTGTGATGACGTATAATTGATTAATTGATAAGTAATCATCTAGATGTTATTAAAATTAAAGTCTTAATTAATATACTTATAATTAATAATATCCCTTATTAATCTTTTTTTTTGTGAGTGAATTAAATTGAAATGGAAAAATTGTTTTGTACTTAATTTTTATTTAAATAACTTAATTTTGCCAATATTCCGTTTTTTTTTTTTTTTTTTTTTTTGTAATATTTCATTCAGAGATAAAATATTTTTTGAGGAAGCTAAGGGAAACTGTAAGCAAACAAAATTTCAAAAATATAAAATAAAATAAATTCAGGTAACTAATTTTTTCCTAATGTAAATTGATAGGTTGAATTAAAACGATGCATAGATCATCAGTTATGACATAAACATCTTTGTTTACATCAGAGGCAAACCAGACTAACTAACTAACTAACAACTCTTTCTGTTTTGCATCTGAAACTTTTAAAAGTTATCAGTTAAGCGAAAAATTAGTAAAAAAAAAAAAAAAAAAAATTCTGTGTAATTCAAATTCTGAATTGATTCTTCTGTTTATTTGTTTATTTGTTTACATCATCAGATAAGACAACAACTTTGTTTGTTTTTTTTTTTGCAACATTGAATTTTTTCATTTCACACTATGTGTTAGCCTTTTAGCTATTTCATTGTGACTAAAACTTCCAAGTAAGATTACATGGATGAAATTTCAGTTTTTCACTAAAATTTCAAAACTGATAGAGTCACGACAGTAAGCTTTAAATAGCAAATATGTCTTCAAATGGTTTAATCTGAAGTAAATTTAGCAAAAAAAAACAACAAAAAATAATGAAGTAATTGATCGAGTTGTAATATTTTACAAGTACTACTAGGAAAGATAGTTCGAGAATGACAACTTATTAGAACTACTAAGAAAGATAGTTCGAGAATGACAACTTATTAGAACTACTAAGAAAGATAGTTCGAGAATGACAACTTATTAAAACTACTAAGAAAGATAGTTCGAGAATGACAACTTATCAGAACTACTAAGAAAGATAGTTCGAGAATGACAACTTATCAGAACTACTAAGAAAGATAGTTCGAGAATGACAACTTATTAGAACTACTAAGAAAGATAGTTCGAGAATGACAACTTATTAGAACTACTAAGAAAGATAGTTCGAGAATAACAACTTATTAGAACTACTAAGAAAGATAGTTCGAGAATGACAACTTATTAGAACTACTAAGAAAGATAGTTCGAGAATGACAACTTATTAGAACTACTAAGAAAGATAGTTCGAGAATGACAACTTATTAGAACTACTAAGAAAGATAGTTCGAGAATGACAACTTATTAAAACTACTAAGAAAGATAGTTCGAGAATGACAACTTATCAGAACTACTAAGAAAGATAGTTCGAGAATGACAACTTATCAGAACTACTAAGAAAGATAGTTCGAGAATGACAACTTATTAAAACTACTAAGAAAGATAGTTCGAGAATGACAACTTATTAAAACTACTAAGAAAGATAGTTCGAGAATAACAACTTATTAGAACTACTAAGAAAGATAGTTCGAGAATGACAACTTATTAGAACTACTAAGAAAGATAGTTCGAGAATGACAACTTATTAGAACTACTAAGAAAGATAGTTCGAGAATGACAACTTATTAGAACTACTAAGAAAGATAGTTCGAGAATGACAACTTATTAAAACTACTAAGAAAGATAGTTCGAGAATGACAACTTATCAGAACTACTAAGAAAGATAGTTCGAGAATGACAACTTATTAAAACTACTAAGAAAGATAGTTCGAGAATGACAACTTATTAAAACTACTAAGAAAGATAGTTCGAGAATAACAACTTATTAAAACTACTAAGAAAGATAGTTCGAGAATAACAACTTATTAGAACTACTAAGAAAGATAGTTCGAGAATGACAACTTATTAGAACTACTAAGAAAGATAGTTCGAGAATGACAACTTATTAGAACTACTA